ACATGAGCATGGCTCAGTCACTTGTACAACAGTTGCAAGTTATTGATGCAATTCTGGGGGTGAAGACAAAGCCTTAGAAGGCCCAGCAAAACATCAGGGGAGCCTTAATTTGTTCCTGGATCCTAAACATGCCAAACTAGACTCATTGGGCTGCTGTAACTTACAAGGCTTATAAGCATCTGTTGGTCTTTCCAAGGTGCAAACATCTTGAAGGGGAAATAAGTGTGCCAGTGAGTTTCTGAGCTTAATGAGGGAGTGATGGATGTATTAACCCAGCCTCCCCTGTTTCCTTTGCTCTTTCCCTCGCCTTGCCTAGGTCATATAGGTTCTAAAGATGGTAGGTAGCATGAGAAGACCTGCAGAAGTGTGGTGAGTGTTTTATCTCCCTCCAATCTGTTGGCAGTGAAGAACATAAGAGAATATTAGCTTGTCGTTTCTGACTTCTTAATTCTCAAAAGCTTATTGTCAAGTTTTAAAATTAATATAGATTTTGTCTGTGTGCATATGTGCATGTGCATCTCTTTGTAGAGGTCAGTAGAACCCTTGAATTACCTCCTTAAAACCTGCCCGTTAGTGACCATCCTTTCAAATGTTGTTGTGGCTCCGTTCCCATGTATCCTAGGAAGCACAAATATAAATATCATTTTAAAAAAATGGAAATACTGATCCCAAGTAATTTGTTTTAATTGTTATTGTAAGATCATTGGAGCCTACATTTCTTGGTAGTGTTACTATATTAAGTTCTCATAATTTTAACAAAGCTTTGTTTATTAGTTCAGTTAAACCCAGGAAAAACTACCTTGTCGTCTTGCTACTGTACACGAAGGAGGAATGTTCGGCTGTTTGTAACTGCAGAACATCATAAGCAAAGTTGTCTGATTTGTTTTAGATTTGTGTGGCATAATTATACTTCTGTTCAGCTGCTCACAAGCCTTGAGGTTTATGCGGTTTTCATTTACTGCAAGTATATATGGGCGATAGCGGGGAATAAAATACGTTTACAGTGGAAAATAACTTGTGAGATTTTTTTTTTTCCATATGTGGAAGGACTACTGCTGTTCCATAATAATTAGAAAGCTGTAGCTATTTTAAGACTATGGAGTATGCCTTTGGATTGTTCATGGCAAGATTACTTTGGCATGCTGCCAGAAACTGTTTCTATAATTTGACAGAAAAAGAAATCATATTGTAAAAGGAAATATTTAATGTCCATTTTAAAAACAGTTTTTGAAAATATTTGCTCCTTTTTTATAAAGGAAACCACCTCTTTGAGGTACATCCTTGATTGACAGTACTTTTAAATGAGAACTTGATCTTATCTGTTGCCTGAAGGTTGGACAGGACTTCAGGAAGTCTCTAATTCAGCCTCTTGCTTGAAGCAGGGTCAGCTTTGAGATCAGACCAGATTGCTCAGAGCTTTATTCATCTGGATTTTGAGAGCCTCTGAGGATGGCAACTGCACAACTTCCCTGGGCCCCTCTTTTACTACTTGAATGCCCTAATGGGAGAAAAGTTGTGGTGGTTTTGGATTTTTTCCCTTTTTGGGGGGTCCAAACTGGGCAGAGTTATTCTAGATCCTGTCTCGCAAGCGCTGAGTAAAGGGGGATAATCCGCTCCCTGTGCTCCTGCTAGTACAGGCCAGCATGCTGCAGGCTGCCTTTGCTGCCGGGCTGCAATGCTGACTCCCCTTTGGCTCGCTGCTCGGCGAGACGCCTCCCTGCCGCAGCGTCCTTCTGCGGCGCTGCTCCCCGCTCATCCAGCCGCCAGCTTCTATTGCTGCAAGGGGCTAATCCTTCGAGGTGCAGCACTTTGCATCTGAAGTTCTTGATTTAAATTGTATTCCTTGTCTTTATTAATAAAGTAATATGAAAAATAATCTAAAGCGGAGTTTAATTACTTGACCCTAGTTTGCTTATAAAAAATCAGACGACTGTGGATGGTTATAGATGTGCTGCTTAGTGCTTGGGTTTTTAAAGTGTGATTGGATTTCTAAGCAAAATTTGTGTAGCATTAAGAGAATTCTTCTACTTATGTTCTGGCAAAATAAATTGCATTAACTTTTTAAAATGAACACATGCACGATGAATTTAAAAAACCAAATCTGACAGATAACACTTTACCTCGATACATATTTATTCAACTTAATTAGCTCTAAGTCTAGTTTGCATCGCTTATGTTGGAAATGAAGCAGTAGTTGGTTGTAATTCTGTAATGACATATTCTGTAGAATATTTCGTACATCTTGAAATGGAAGTCAGTGCGTAGATTCATTCTCCCTGTAAAATATGTCTAAAGAAATCGGTTCTGGGGAATGTCGAAAACATTTTGCACAAAGTACTCTCATTTGCGTGTGCGCAAAGTCACATACAAAGTTCAGCTATAAAAATTGTACCACAATTTCATTTGCCTGAAGTAGCTTGGTGGGACGGCAGTGAGGAGGGCAGACGAGCTCTGTACTGCGGTATCCTCAGGTGCTATAAAGAACAATTTTTGTAAGTAAAAAGGATCTTCTCTGCTTAGTCCTTTCAACTTATGCAAAAGTTGCGGTCAATGTTCTGAGAGTCGAATGATTGTTTCGGCGATTAACTCACCTCTGATAAAGTTACACTTGGATCAAAATTCAGTGAGCGTGTAAATAGGGGAGGAAATCTGGAAGTCAAGTGAGGAAGCAGAAGGCTTCTGAATCTCTCCATACTGTTCCTAAAGCGAGCAGTAGATCTACACTGGGATCGATGGTAATGTTACAGATCTTCAGGAATATCCATGCTAGCTGCGTTCTTGTGAGCTTAGGCACTGGGAGCTGTGGCGGGCTGGGATAGCACCGAGGTGGGTGTCTGGGATCCCAGATGGGCTTGTGCGACTGCTGGTTTCGGCTCTGTGGTTTCACTGGTGGAGCAGCAGCGGCTGCAGGATTGAAAACTAGCTTGGGTGTGCCCAGACCTGCTGCAGCCCAAACTTCCCTTTGGCAGGGCACGTCCAGTCAGAGTAGGCACATCTTCTGTAAGTCCGTTTCCTGGGGCTTGTTCATACACACTTGCCTCCTTGGTTGGTGCAGCCCTTAACTTCAATTTATGTGAGCTCTAGTGAAACTGCTTTTTATTGCTGACAGAGAAAAAAGAGGCTTCTGCGCTCAGCTAGCTTACTCTGTGCCTTTGTCTCACTTGGTATTTCTCACAATCAAAACAAAAAATGCTTCTTGTGGAAAAGTATTTTAAAACATGCCTCTCGATAAATGTGCCTTTTATTTTTATGAATAGCTGGTTATTTGAAAATTTAAACATCTTTAATTAAGAAAAATAACCTAAGCTTAAATGTTTGGTGCTTAGAGACAACTGACAAGTTAATGTAGCAACTTAGAAAAAGTCAAATGTATGATACATGTGATATGTATGTAAGATACTACAGTATCTTCTTTCAATCTTCTGAACTTTGCAGTCAAAACATTAGTTTCCACTGTTGTAATAGTTTTTTTCTGTGGAAGGTAGCCTAGAAGAGCAGTGATTTACAGTGATTGCTTATAGCATTTCATTTAAATCTTTGGAGTTGTGCCAATTCACTCGGGACCCCCCTTGTTTCAGTTTGGGGAAAGCAGAAGTTGCAGGAGATCGAGGAAGGAGCTAGTATCTCACTGTGCAGGGTCATACAGCAGCTCAACATCCTGAATCGCTCCTCTTTGTTTTGCAACTTAATATAGGTTTCTTTTTTTCTGGAGGAATGATTTTTATGCCTTTTCTGATGAGCGTTATCACCGACTAGTGTAGTTTTAAGTAGTGTCAGATTTCCTGTGTTTTCTTTATAATACATAGAAGAAATATTTGGACATTATAACAAGGTAACTAACCTGTAGGACTCCAAGTGGAGATTTTCAGCTTTATTCTTGCGCAGACATTTTCTTCTGCTGTCACAGTAACTTCAAAGCTTTGTAGATCTTGCAGTTTAATCTGTTGCTATTGCTTGCGTAGGGCGGCTGCAGCATTGCTGTGAGCCTGTTGTTGGGCAGGAGGATGGGCGGATTTGTCACGGCGCAGAGACGTAAGCAAACTTCCCTCCCTGTGGAAGAGGGAGAGCAAGTCCTTATTTTAGGCTAGAGCGTTTCATTTGTGTAATGGGAACAAAGATCAGGCAGCCTGTGACACTCCCATTCCTTGAATAAAAAAGCAAACAAACAAACAAAACCCTTCAAGACCCTTCAAGAAAGCTGTACAATGGGCTTGATGAAGAGCGTGAGACTAGTGAAAGGGAATTATGATTTGCTGCAAAGTTACTGTCTGGACTGGGAATAAGAGCGTTTTCCCGCTGTGTTCTAGACATCCCTTGTGCAATACCAGGAAATGCTTCAGAAGGTTAATTCTGAATCATGCACTTCTGTCCTTAGTCAATACCATTTAAAAAAAAAAAAAAAAAAGCTTGACTCTAAAAAGAGCCTTTTTAAAGTGTATTGAGTCTGTTCAGTCCAGAAGGTAGCACGCTCCCTCTTCTGGTGGGTTAACTGAAGCTTTAGTTTAGGAAATGGGGTGGGGGGAAAGGAGCTGATTTAAATGCACAAGAACTGTGGAATTCCCGTTTTCTCCTTTTTTTCCTTTTTTTAACTTCCCAAAACGCTCGAATATATTCGAGATGCTTGTGACTTCAAGAGCTGTTTAATAATTGTATGGTTTGTTCCTGTTTTCGTAAATGAAAATTCTTAATACAAATGCTCTAAGTAGGTTGTATTTCTTAATGTGTATCCTGTCACTTAAAACAAGCGCTCTAATTTCTGTTGGCTTGACTAATAATCATATTCAAGCTGAATTACAAAATACAGCTGAAGTCAGATTGGTTCTTTGTAAGAACCAAACCCAGAGCTAGTAATGTAATCTTTTTTTACTTGATGTCATCTTGCAGAATATTCTTGCAAACTCTTGATGTCTTCGTACAGACTTTCAATGTCTAAATCTCTCCTGTAGACAGTATGTAGTCTAAGCAGAAGTGTAAGTCTCCAATGTGTGCTTTCTCATCAGATACCCGTTATGGCTTCGTCATCAACACCTAAATATAATTCAAATTCTTTGGAGAGCTCCTCAATTAAAAGGGTGAGTGTAACACATTTTTCATGTTTTAAAATCAGGTATTGAGATCATTACCTTTCATAGTTGCATCCAAAACTGGATATTTTTGGATTACACTTTTCTTGATTATTTTCTTGCTTACTGTTAAAATTCAAATACAGCCAACTAAGTTGGTTTACTATCTTTCAGATTGGTTGAAGGAGATGCTCTTAATCAGAAGTTATGAGACTCCCCCCTGGAAATCAATTTTAATATACCTATCTGTTGTTCTTGCTTTCTACATTGAAATTTTCTGTAGCTTTATTGCAATTTTAGCAAATCTGTGCGATAGAAAAATTATGTACTGCAACTGAGTTTTATCTAGTTGTGTGACTGGCCCAGTTTTAAAATTTTGATCTGTAGGAGAAGTATTCACCTTAATGCCAGCTAAAAGATTCCTCTATGCTTTGGGAGGCAGTGAGGCCAAGTAAAATGCCACCTGTGTGCCAGAACAGACACTAAAGTTTTAAATATTCTTAAAACAGTTCTTTAAAACCAAGATTTATTTTTATTAGTCATTCTTAAGAAGTACTAAACATATGAAAATCGCAAATAAGCAAATTGTGTATGATGGTTGTGAATATATTACTTAAGTAATTTCATTTGATTAGCTTTTCTCAGCTGAGCAAACTTTTTTCCAGAAAAATGGAATGTACAAAATTTTTGGAAAAGTCATGGCATAGAAATTTCATTCCAATTTAATGCAAATATTTTTAAATACTCAGTAGGAAGGAGAGAGAGTAAAACAGGTTTGTGCTTCAGCTCTGTTCAATGTTTAATAATTGCAATTTAGGAGAGTGGTGTTTTTTCCTCCTTTGATTCAGTATGTCAATTTCTGCTGTGGAAAAAACTGATCTTTCCCATACAGGTATTTCCTGTAAGATTTCTCTACCTGGAACTTGGAGCAGTTGTACAACAGCAGAACGTATTTATTTGCCTCTTTCTCTTTAGACTCTGAAAGATGGAACTAACTGGGAACAAAATGAGGAAATACCTCGTCTGCCAGGAGAAACTAGAGTTACAGGTATAAAGTTGCACAGCTATATAATGCAGTGTATATTGAAGGAGTCTGGCATACTTACTGGACTATTTCATAATTAAAAATGAATTGGGCAGAGGGGTAAGTTGTATTAAAACTCCTTGAATTAATTTTTTGCAAATAATCACTTTAGAAACTTTAAGTTCTTGGCTTCCATACAGAGATTGTCCAGTACAAAGACATGCCAAGTTAAGATGTGTGGTGATCATATCTACAGACTAAGCAGCAAGTGTCTAGTGACAAGATTCCCTCAAACCTTTTTGAATTCAGAAGACAATGAAACTTGCCACAGATTATGCATTAATTTCTTGTGCAAGTAGTGTGTAACCTTAGCCCCAACTATAGTTATACTGGGTAAAATCTTATGCTTCCTTTACACAACGAGACAGGCACTTAGCCACTACGCAGCTGTCAGCCTTGACATACATTAATCTTCCTCATGCTACAGCATTAATATGTGATGCACAGTGCTGCCTTATTTAGTGGAGGCTTTTCCTGGAAAGAAGCCTTTCATTCATGGAAATTGGTAGAATGTAACTGAAAGAGGCCTTATATTTGTGAATCCCCTCCTCACCGCAGTGATTTTTTGTTAGATGAATTTGTGAGTGAGGTGGTGAAAATAAGTACCTGTGTTTTTGATGAAGAAAGCTGGAGGAAAGGCATGAGGGAGAGGGTGTGGCAGTAAGAAGAGTATTTAATATGACCATTGTGACCATTTTCTCTGCTGTGGGGCAGCACAAAGGAAGGAGGGTGCTTGTTGTGGAAGGCAAATGAGTAGACTAGGTTCAAGAAATGAGTAGACAAGGAGAAACAGCTGGCTTGTGATGCTTCAATCCTAAAGGGATAGCTTGAGTGGTAGGGAGTTTTGAGTAGCATGTATATTACTGCTCTTGTTCTGTTACTGTCCTTGCTGAAACAGTCCTGGTGGCCCTGCTGTCTTCAGTTGCCTCAAACTGAAATGTACTGGTTCTCTTCAGGAGGGAGAGTTCCCTAAAAGTTTTACAACCAGAACTGTACTGATATCAACAGAAGATTGTATTTTTTCTGGGCTATTGCATGGCATAGAGCAGTAATCCCAGGGAGTACTTAATGTTGCTGTACTATGTCCCACCTTCCCCCACATATTGACAAGAACGAGAAGAAAGCAGATGTTACTAGGAAGACTATTGAAATCAACTGGAAGAATTTAGGCAAGTTTAGTATTTGAAACTTTCACATTTTTGTAGTTCAAATGGACAAAGCTCAGTTTTATACCTTTTTTCCTTTCATTCAGCTCTCTATTAGAGCAGTTCTTAGGAGTGCAATTAGCTTTATTTTAGTACTGCTTAATTGATTTTGTCCTTAACTCTGATTTTTCATAATGTTGAAGAAATGCTGTATTTCTTTACAGACAAAGATGTTATTTATATGTGTCCATTCAATGGCCCTGTTAAAGGACGAGTGTACATCACAAACTACAGACTGTACCTAAGAAGCGTGGAAACTGTGAGTAATGTGCCCTCAGTTGCTTCCATAGGATGAATTAACTTAACACCCCACACCCCCACCCAGTCACTGCATTTGATTCACTTTGTGGCCAGTTCATGTTTCTTAGTTTAGGCAGAAGTATACTTTTTGGAACTGTATGGAAGGATTTTTTACTTGAAATGGTCTGTAGTATGTAATAATACCTTAATTGTGTAATGACTAAATAGCAGTTTTTCCTGTGCCACTGAGAAATCATTACAAAAAATGCAAGTTCTTTAAAGTTGAATATGTTTAAATGTATAATTTTTGCCAAGTAAAACTACAATTTGATCACTTACACTGAATTGATGGTACCTTTATCCTTCTGTTGGAGCTTCTTGATAGCTATTCCATTCATGCTTATTCTGTGCTGAATCAGGGGTAGCAACTGTGGATAGTTGCAAAGTTCTTAAAATACAAATAGTTTTTTAAAATCACTATCAGTAAACAAAGATTTTAATTGTCCTTGATGTTGAAAGAGAAACACTTCAATCAATAGAACATGGGGATTGAGGGAGTGATAGTGTTTAAGTTGTGGTATGAAAGAATAAAATGAGCTGTTATCTGTCTTCATATTATGAGAAGGTTAAAGGGCTTAAGATTAGTGAACTAAGATCATTCTGATTGCAACTGACAGTTTTATAATCTCTCATTTTAATTTTATTCTTCTTTATTTTGTATATCAATAAAGCAAGCAAAGGCAGTCAGAAATATGCCATAATGCATCTTTTAGGCTGTTGCCGCCTTTTTTTTCCTGCCAACTGCCTAATGGCATAAAATGTTTGCTGTTTGCATGTAAAACTGTCTGATGTTCAAGCCTACAGAGTGACTATGCAGAGTGACTCCTCAGACTTCCTAGACGTGTTGAGAGGAGAGACTCAATCAAGCCCTGAAACACTCCTTTGTTTCCTATGTTTCGTGTCTTCTTTCTGTTATAGAATACATAAGAACATTTTGCCCGAGTTCCTTTTCAGACTAATCCTTTCCTTACCCAAATTTTCCTTGCAGGACCCGGTTGTGGTATTGAATGTTCCTTTGGGTGTAATTTCAAGGATTGAAAAAATGGGAGGAGCTTCAAGCAGAGGAGAGAATTCTTATGGATTAGATATAACTTGTAAAGTAAGACTTTCCAATAATTCAATAGAAAACAACCTACATGTTCTCTTTCTCGCTGCTTACGTATTTGTAGGAATGGAAAACCATGTACTCCCCACAGATGAGTTTGAAAAGAACTTTTTGGACAGGAAAATACCCTTTGTATCAAAGAGTATTTACCATTGTCTCTACACGATTGTGATTTTGCACAGTAGTCTGGTTTGAGAACTGGGCTGTGAAATTGAAACTGGCATTATTCCTGCACCTCTTCATTTACTTTCTTTCTAAATAAATTTTTAATTTTTTATAAACCTTAAATCTTTGAAGAGCCATCCAACACTTAAAGAAGTCAGAGCTTTTGCAAGCTGTGAAGGCAGTGAGAAGTTAATGTAACAACTATCTCCATTTTTTTAGTCTAGGAAAAAAATTTGTTGCCGTGAAAAAATGTCATGTGGGAAGTTCCCATTGAATAATCCAAGGTCCTGTCTTTTGACTCTTTAATGGAATATGTACACACAGACTTCTTGTCTCAGTAATTAATGTGCACATTGTCTCTAGCTTATTTTCTCTTCACTAACTTCAAAAATAAGCAATGTAGTCTAGACAAATTATTGGCGAAATTTCACTTTGGAAATGTACAGTAACTCGCACCTCGCAAACGTTCAATGACCCATGAGACTTTAGTGAATAAGACAGTTACTTCTGATGACTTAGTGTCAAAGTGTTTTCAGTGTTTTAGTGACTTAGTGTTACAGTGTTTTCACCACAGAATGTGTGAGGCTGCTATTTACAAAGTTTGTAAGTTCTCTTCTGTTTTATGGGATAAAAATAAAGCTGAACACTCACAACAGTTTGAGGTATGTTGCAAGCAAATTCTAGATCACGTTAAGTGTATAATATAGCATTTGTACACCAAATAGAAGTACCTTACTGCTTTGGTTCTTTTAAAATATAATGCCTTTGTTTTAGGATATGAGAAACTTACGGTTTGCGTTAAAACAAGAGGGTCACAGTAGAAGAGATATATTTGAAGTCCTCACAAAACATGCTTTTCCCCAGTCACACAACTTGGTAAGTTGCGTCATTTATTATTGAGCTGTCTTAATGTAGAATTTCTGCCTACTGGCTGTAACTGCTTGACCAACTGATGGAGATCACGGCTGACTAAAAAGAATAACCACAGAACGTGGTATCAGGATAAACTGCAGAGAACTAGTATTTCTATTGTACATTTAGAATAGTTTGTCTCTAAGAATGGCGCATGGCATCAATAATTTTACAAATAAAGTACACCACTAAGCACCCTCTGACCCATATGGCTTTCATTCTTTCCTGAAAAACAAGAGACAGTGAGTTATTTTCCCTAATCAGGATAATGTAATAGCACTTGCCTGGTTTGATTTCTTGAAATCATTAAAAACTTTGGGCAGTCTCCAGGGCGATGATAACCGAATTGCCAAGAGCTTTACTTTAGGAGAGGAAGACATAGTAAGCCAGCCCTTCTTTTAGTGGTAGTTACTGATGAATGATATAACCAGAAGATAATGTAGTAATGAATTTACACAGATCTGTTGCAGGTAAAAGCATCTTATGGAGGGAACTGAGCAACAGTAAAGTTAACCAACCGTTATCTTTCATTTCTCTACCGAAATTGGTATGCTGTACTAGGTGGATCACTCTGACATATTTTTACTAAATGCTTTATTCTGTAACATTCACTTTCTGTTTCATTTGGCCTTTTTTCACTAAATGTTGGATGATTGTGCTTTGAATTTGAGCTTTGTTCACAGAATTTAACTGTATGAAGTTGCAGCAAGAATCTTATTTCATTCTCCGAAGATATGAGCTATGCTCTGTAAACGTTTTTAATTTTTATGTAGAAACTTAGCATTTTGTATTCAAAGTCTGTAGAGTGGAAGCATAAGGAAAAATAGATGCTTTTGTTAGGATATTTTATAGTATTGACAAATAGCTCTTACAAAATGAAACTGAGTTTTCTACGTAAGTACACTGGAGTACTAACAGTTGGGTAGGTGCAAGGAGTTCTACTTGCAAGTAAAAACTTTTGGAGAAGCAAGTATATGTCTCATTCTACTGTAGATATTTTTATACATCTTACAATAGAGAATGATTGAAAGCATAATGGAACATATGGACTTCAGATGGGATTTTGAAGGGATGGTGGAAAGAAGAAAGTTATACATAGAAACATCAAATCATAGATGAGTTTAGTTTGGAAGGGACTTCTGCAGATCATCTAGTCCAGGCTTCTGATGAAAGTACAGCCTTCGATTAGGTTATCCAGGGCACTGTCAAGCCTATTCTTGAATATTTCCGGTGAGGGAGATACCACCACTTCCCTGGGCAACATCTTCCAATGTTTTATTGTTCTCAGGGTGATGTTTTTTTTTTTCTGGCATCCAGATGGAACTTCCTCTGAGCAACTTGTCTCTGTTGGCCCTTGTCCTGTCTCTGTGCATCCTTGTGAGGATAGTATCACCATCTTCTCTAAAATTACCAGTCTGTGAATAGATCCCCTCAGCCTTCTCTTCTCGAGGCTGAAGAAATTAATTGCAATTCTGATAGCATATCAGACAAGAATGTTTTGGTAGAGACTTTTATATGAGGCTTAAGCTCAGATGATCAGAAGAGGGCTTACAACCGTGTGGGGAAATGATTTACAAGAGGAAATGAACAGAGCTTGACCAAAAAGAAGGTGGAAAAAGTCTTTTTGGTACCAGATAGTGCAGAGGGAAGGAGTGTATAAGCTGAAGGATAATGCTGGTACTGAATCAAACAAGTAAAACTGGAAATTTGGAATGATAATTTAAAGGAAGCTATCTAAATAAGCTAAGGCTTTCCCTTGGTGGAGAAGGATTGAGTTAGAAATCATGTAGGCAAACGTGACACCCACAAGTCCATGGGCCCTGATGGGATGCACCCACGAATACTGAGGGAGCTGACGGACATCATTAATAATGCTGGTACTGAATCAAACAAGTAAAACTGGAAATTTGGAATGATAATTTAAAGGAAGCTATCTAAATAAGCTAAGGCTTTCCCTTGGTGGAGAAGGATTGAGTTAGAAATCATGTAGGCAAACGTGACACCCACAAGTCCATGGGCCCTGATGGGATGCACCCACGAATACTGAGGGAGCTGACGGACATCATTACTAGGCCACTCTCTATCATCTTTGAAAGGTCATGGTGATCAGGAGAGGTCCCTGAGGACTGGAAGAAAGCCAATGTCACCCCAGTCTTCAAAAAGGGCAAGGAGGAGGACCCAGGGAACTACAGGCCTGTCAGCCTCACCTCCCTCCCTGGAAAGGTGATGGAACAGCTCCTCCTGGAGGCCATCTCTAAGCATATGGAAGACAAGAAGGTGATCAGGAGGAGTCAGCATGGATTCACCAAAGGGAAATCATACTTGACCAATCGGATAGCTTTCTATGATGGAATGACTGGCTGGATAGATGAGAGAGCAGTGGATGTTGTCTGCCTGGACTTCAGCAAGGCTTTGGACACTGTCTCCCATAGCATCCTCATAGGCATGCTCAAGAAGGGCGGGCTGGATGAGTGGACAGTGAGGTGGATTGAGAACTGGCTGAATGGTAGGGCTCAGAAGGTTGTGATCAGTGGCACAGAGGCTAGTTGAAGGCCTCTATCTAGCGGTGTCCCCCCAGGGGTCGATCCTGGATCCAGTATTGTTTAACTTATTCATAATGACTTGAATGAAGGGATGGAGTGCCTCCTCAGCAAGCTTGCTGATGATGCAAAGCTGGGAGGAGTGTCTGATACCCTAGAGAGGGCTGTGCTGCCATTCAGAAGGGCCTCAGCAGGCTGGAGGGATGAACGGAGAGGAACCTCATGAAGTTCAACAAAGGCAAGTGCAGGATCCTGCACCTGAGGAGGAATAACCCCATGCCCCAGTACAGGCTGGGGGCTGACCTGCTGGAAAGCAGCTCTGCAGAGAAGGACCTGGTATTCCTAGTGGACAAGTTGACCGTGAGCCAGAAACATGCCTTTGTGGCCAAGAAGGCCAATGGTCTCTTGGGCTGCATTAGGAAGAGCATTGCCAGCAGGTCGAGGGGAGGTGATCCTCCCCCTCTCCTCAACCCTGGTGAGGCTTCACCTGGAGTCCTGTGTCCAGTTCTGGGCTCCCCAGTACAAGAGACACATGGAGCTCCTGGAGCGAGGCCAGTGGAGGGCTACTAAGATGAAGGGACTGAAGCATCTCTCATCTGAGGGAAGGCTGCAAGAGCTGCGCCTGTTCAGCCTGGAGAAGAGAAGACTGAGGGGGGGATCTGATCAACATGCATAAGTATTTGAAGGGAAGGTGGCAAAGAGGATGGGGCCAGGCTCTTCCAGGGGTACCCCCAGTGACAGGACAAGAGGCAACGGGCAAAATGAAGCGCAGGAAGTTCCATCTGAACATGAGGAAAAACTTCTTCGTGGTAAGGGTGACTGATCACTGGAAGAGGTTGCCCAGAGAGGTTGTAGAGTCTTCATCCTTGGAGATCCTCAAAACCTGTCTGGACGAAATCTTGGGCAACGTGCTGTAGGGGACCCTGCTTGAGCAGGGGGGTTGGACTAGATGATCTCTAGAGGTCCCTTCCAACCTCAACCATTCTGTGATTCTGTAAATAAAGCAAGCTTTGGAATGGTTCTGTAGAGTATAATGAGGTGAAGAGATAAAACTTCAAGATAAAAATTTATAAACTTATAGAAGGTAGTTGGAAAACAAATTGGTAGTATTGCCTGTGGCTGAATGATTTGTCTGTGTCCCATGTGAGGAGTTTGAAAGGAGTCTTCATTTTTATCATTTCATATATTGCAAGAAAGAGTCAATGCATCAAACATGAGAACGTGGTCAGTAACTTTGTTACCTGTAAATATTTCATCTTTAAAAGAGAAATATGAAGCTTTATGTTCGCTTTCCATACTTCCACGATTGTGATTAGCGACTTTAATAAGCTGTGAGATAGCAGGGAATGTAGCACAGGTCACTACTTTGGTTTTAAATGATACTTTTTGTTGTTTGATGTAGGTAAATTATGAAACCCTGAAACAAATTCTTGTTCTTAAGTAAAAATTCTTGCATATTGATATTTTAGAAGTAGACACCAATTTAGCTGATGGTTTGAACTTTCAGGGGTTTTGTTGGAGTTGTATTTTGGCTTATCCTACAGATTTTAGTGTTGAATATATATTGTAAATGTTTTGTATGTGTTGTATGTGTTCTTCACATCCAGTGTATAAGATTTTCTTATCAGTCTGTCAGGACCACTTTTTGAATTACTATAATGATGTTAGTAAATGATCTGTTTTCACTTCCATTTGTTATGCGTTAAAATTTATAGGTGGTAGTTAAAGTAGGCTGTTGAGTAATAAGCAGTTTACTTGGCTAAATTCCACTAAACATAATCTTTTCAAGATGTACTTTAAGAGTGATTGCTGGGAAAGAGCAGTTGTCCCACATGGAAAATAACAATCTATCACTTCAGTTTCTTTTCGATACTCTTGTGTCTTTTGGCAGCCGAGGTTGTTAGAAGTAGAGGAGCATTCCTGTTTTCTTCTGAAGAAAACTACAATTGAGAAAGATGATCAGTATAGGTTTTAGATTGAAACAACTGGCCCAAACAGACATTGGATGGAAGGTCCTCTTTGTGTATCCCACCAGACTCTTCATTCTCTTTTCCAGGATAAAATGGAAAGCTACATTTCCACACTGCATGGCAACCTACACTTAATGCCACTGTTCATTAAAATAGATAGAACACTCCTTAAACAACAGCTATGGGCAACCTAGCAGAAGTGGCCTACTTTTCTTGACTGAATTGGTAATTAGTATTGTGCTTAATTGTCTTCAGTCCGACCAGGATGATCACCAGCTTTGGGCATGCAAGAATTTTATTTCATGAATTAGTGCCCTTTTAAATGTCTTTTGAAGCATCTACTTGAGTGTCATTACATTTTAGGATTCACCTCTACTGGTTTGCATCCTTGAATGTGGACAAATTAAGTTATAACTGAATTTCCCTTGTGGGAAATTCACAGTCCCTTGTGGGA